TTCCTGATAGCTACTCTGGAAACATATCAAAATCTGTAAATTGTGCTGAAGGAAAACTTATTGGTCTCAAAACACATGGCTGTCATGTTCTACTTCAACAGCTCATGCCTATTGTTCTAAGGGGAATTATTCCAGATGATATCACAGCTGTAATGTTTGAGTTGTCTGCTTACTTTCGAGGAATATGTTCGAAAGTGCTTCGTTTTGATGACCTTGACCGTTTGGAACAATCAATTAAAGTTACACTATGCAAAATAGAGATGATATTTCCTCCTGGATTTTTTACAGTTATGGCTCACTTAGTAGTACATTTAGCAACTGAATGTAAGATGGGTGGACCAGTTTGTTATCGATGGATGTACTTCATTGAAAGGTACTGATTTTAATTAATACAACTTCGTTGTTTGGATCATTTATTATATATAACCTACTAAATTGATGCTTTTCCATATGTTGCAGGTACCTATATAAACTGAAATCATATGTTCGCAATAAAGTTCATCCAGAGGCTTCAATGGCAAATTCATTTTTGGCAGACGAGTGTATGGTGTTTTGTTCTAGGTACCTGGAAGATTTCGCCACAAAGCATAACAAACCATCAAGGAATGATGAGAATCAGGATCATCTTGAATCTAACTTATATGGTCATGATTCCTCTTTGTTTCCTCCTATAGGGAAACCATTGGGAATACCGTCCAGTTTTATTTTATCTGATCTAGAGAAACTGCAAGCACATAGATATGTACTATACAATTGTGAAGTTGTCATTCCGTACTTGAAGTAAGTGTTACTGACACTTATCATCATATTACATATGTTCCTTTAAAACTGAATCCATGTTAATTTCCATTTTAGAGAGCATGCCGGTGATCTCAAAAGAAGAAATCGTCAATGTCGTCTATCTTTGAAACAAATTGAGAATATACAGAATAAAGAGTTTCCTGATTGGTTCAGAGAACATGTAGGTATCATGGTTTGTTTTTTATTCAAAAGAATAGGAAAAATTGACTTGAGTATATTTTGTGATGATACAGATCATGCAGTTGGAGCAAAAAAATGGTAGCGATAGCATCAATGTGGACATTAGATGGTTGGCTCGCGGCCCATTGGATGCAGCAAGCAGACACAGAGCCTTTAGCATCCGTGGTTTCAGATTTAGAGCCAAATGTTATGACAAGGCGACGCAAAATAGTGGAGTTGTTGTGACTGCAAAAACATCAAGTTATTCTTCTGGAGGGGATACTAACCCTATCCTTGGAGATATTACCTACTACAGAAGGATACTTAATATAGTCGAGTTAGACTATTATGGAAGATTCTCAGTGGTGTTGTTTAAATGTGAATGGGTTGATGTCACTTGAGGAAAGGGAGTGAAAACAGATACGTTTGGTTGTACACTTGTGAATTTCTCACAGCAAATTCACAAGGGTGACAGGATTGAGCATGAGCCTTTTGTATTTGCCAATCAAGTTGACCAAGTGTTCCATGTCAAAGATGATTATAACAACCCAGGATGGTCAGTTGCATTGAAGATGAAGCCTAGAGATGTACTTGAAATGGGAGAAGAATGGAATGATGTAGAATGTGAACCTTATCATGTCAGTACTCTTGATGACCTTTTTGCTAATTCACATAATAGTCATTCATGGACTAGAAGAGATGTAGAGGAAACAAATGTAGATCCCAGTAGAAGTTCTGATGAAGAAGATTAATAGCTCAACAAAATTAAAGGTGAGATATGTTTGATTTTTCTACTATTCAATATTGTATAGTTGTACTAAGATTATGTACCAGCTGACAAGTTTCTTTAACTGTTTGTATTATTCAGGTCATGGTCCAAAAACCAGCATCATCGCTGCAACGCATGAACATCTTGAGCTGTTTGCCAAGTTGTAATTTTGTGTATTCCTATGAGTTTTTACTCTACAAAACTTTAATAAACGTGATGTTCAGTGTTTGACAGTTTTAGATTTGTAAATTCAGAATATAATTGTATGGGGTCACAAGTTGTATGGTGTTGGCAAAACAGAGATCACATTTGAAATTTGAGATTTCAGAATATAATTGTTTATATGTCCATCATAAATCCAATGGCAACAGGCCCATCATCTCAGTCGGCAGGAAATATATTGAAAAAAAATATTAGCACTGTGAAGGTATAAGACTAAAATCAAATGGCTATAGGTGCGCCACAGCTTAGGTGTGATTTCTGAAAAACAAAAAAAAACACCTTTCAAGATTTGATTTCTAAAAAAACAAACAAAAAAAAAACAAAAAAACAGCTTTAATATGGTTTTGAACCCACGACCCCAACAAACTAAACAGCTCTCTACCATTAGGCTACACATGGTTTTGTTAGGATATTTAGGAGATTGATATTTTTTATCACATTTCGTAACCTTATGATAGGTTGCATGAAAGACTTCGTAACTTTCTCATATAATGTTCGATGAAGACGAACTTTATACCAAAGTTATAGTACTTTTTCAAGATTTACAACTTTGTAGTTCAAACTTTTTTGATTTAAGATTGTTTGGATATCCAAATATGTATCATAAGATATTATAGAGTTAATACCAAAGAAGTCCAGATGTTCTAAAGTCACAAGTCAGTGTCTAGTGGTAGAAAAGGATCTCGGATAGAGAAATAACCAAAATAAAAGTTGTAGATCTCGAAAAGTTATAAAACTTTATAGTTCACAACTTTTTTTATTTAACGTTGTTTTGATGCTGAGTTATTTGTTTCACCAGATTTAATAGAAGTCAATACTAAAGGAATCTATATGCTCTATAGTCATAACTGAGTGTGTAGTTGTAGTTAAGGATGTCGGATGGAGAAGCGACCAAAATAAAAGTTGTAGCTCTTGAAAAGTTATGCAACATTGATAGTCTATCCAACGAAGATTACATTTAAATTCTCATATTTCAAATTCGATTTTTTTTAAACAACCTCGGATGGAAAAACGACCAAAAGTAGATCTCGAAAAGTTATGCAACTTTGTAGTCGACGACTTTTTCATTTAAAATCATTTATAGAATGAAAATTATGGCCGAATTTCCTTATATTTGAAATTCAAAATTTTCATACGACCTCGGATGGAGAATTGACCAAAACCAAAGTTGTAAATCTCGAAAAGTTATAAAACTTTATAGTTAACAACTTTTTCATTTGAATTCGTTTGTAGTCCCAAATACTTATTTAATTTGGATATAACACTATTAACCATATTTTAATTTTTTCTTGCGCAAAAAACATATTTTAATTTAGATTCGATTTGCTTGATAGAAAGTATCATTTTAATGTAATTTAATTTGCTAGGCCCGATTAAATGCCTGGGTAATTTTTAGATGTCTTACTTTATTAGCTATCGGATTTAAATGCTAACACTAAACTAATAATATAAATTCAGCGTAATCACAAGTTTTTTGTTTTTCCTTTTATGGCGCCCGCCATTCTTTCCCTCGTAATCACAAGTTAGTAATTTTTTTTGGTCATGTTTTGCTCCCGCCATTTCTTTCCCTCCATTCTTTTTTATTTCGTACTTTTTTTCCTCCCGCACAGCTAATCTGTTTTTATTACTCGCGCTAATTCTTGAGAAGTCTAATAGTGGACCCACCCTTCATAGAGACAAGCTAGAGAGGACTACGTGAAAACAGCACAGAACCGCCCCTTGATTGTGGATCTCGTTAGTTATCCCAGCTGAATCATGGTTCCTTTTCTTTTATTATTTTCCATCGCACAAACACAACTCCGTACCTCTCATCTTCCTGCTGCAAACCACTCCGCCACCACCGGCGCAGCAGCGGCGCTGTGTCCCCACACCAGCGCCAATGGCTGCACCGTGCCACCACAGGACAACGCCCACGTGCCCCCGCTCCCTCGCCGGTCCCTGTCGCCGCCTCCAAAGGTCACCGTCGTTGGTCCCTGTTGCCACCTCAGGAGAATGAATGGCGTTGGATCGATCCCTTCTTCCGTGCAGCACAGCGATGATCTGAGCTCACTTCTTGGCCGCAGGTTCGTAGCACTCTCCTGGCTTCTGCCTACCTCCGCTTCTTCGCCGCTCACGACGAGTTCGCGCCGCCGCAGCGTGCGCGGCTGGTCGATTCCGTGCGTGGCTCGATGATTCCTAAATTTTTAGAATTCTACTAGAAACTAAGAGCGGCGTTGCCGCGCGTCTCCCTGTGTCAGATCAGCCCGTGATGTGAGATGAGTCCATCTGAAGATGATCAAAGACGATCAGTGTGTGTTGCCCAGCCTTTGCGCCAAACTGACCAATGGAGGATATTTTCGTGTTTGAAATGAGTTGACGATGTGTTGTTTGGCGCATGCTTGTCTGAAATCAAGCTCGAAAGTATAATAGCAGTTCGTACAATAATAAGATCTAACATTTCCTTACATTAATTACTCACATTGAGGCACATTTTAATCATTTTCCATTTATCACTGCTGAATCATTTCTATGTAAAGGCAACGCTTACAGTCTCATCAAGCAATCTTCAACACAGAACAATCATGAGCACCCTTGATTAAAAAAAAAGGACCAACCAATAAATAGCTATACCAGTCTCTGCTAATCAGGTAGGGGACATTTGCAGCATGCAGAAATTTCAGGCCTAATTCAACGAATGAAATTGAATGCCAAGAACAATACAGCATACCTGTTGCTGACCACCCATTGGCATGAGCTGCTGCATTCCACCCGTGCTAAAATCCAAACATCCATTGGATATGTACCTGAAAAAGCATCGGCTGCTGCAGGACATGGAACCCACAAAATCCAGTCGGGCACCATCTGGGACCTGCATCTGTTGCTAGCATAGAATTCCAACTCTCTCCGACTCAGCTGGTCTACTCTAATTCATAATATGTTTGTACCCATCTATTTCTGAATACAACAGGGCTAATTACTAATATTAGTAATGTTCTACTCTAATTCATGTTGTGAAGTGGATATGGCAAGGGGTAGAAGAAAACAGATAATCTAGAGCCATGATGAGTATATGTCAGAAGAGCATATTGGACAAGAGAGTCATGGGCAAAATACTGAGGTATCTGAACTTCATTCAAGTGCTAGAGGAGATCAGATCGATAGTGATGGTGATATTGAGGTTAATTTACACGGTACTTACTAACCTACTTTAATTTTTTTATTACTAACAGAATGTGTTATCTGTGAAAGTGTTTATCATTGTATATTTTGTGCAATGTAACACTGAATAGATGAAACTGAGGACAGAGTAAAGCGTGGAAAGACAAAATTGAAAGATATTTGGAACCTTCCAAAAGGTCATAGAATCGTGGTTAGATGCAATGAGTTCGATCAACCAGTTGGAGCAGAGGCTGGATTTCTAGGAAAATTTCTTGGCATGGTGGCTAGGAATGGTTGCTTGTGTAGCTTGAGCTACAAGGATTGGAGGCTTCTAATAGGAAAGAAAGAAAAAAAAAACACTGATGAACAAAAAAATAAGAAGGATATACTTAAGCAAGTGAAGGTACATAGTTCAGCTAGACATCGTATAACCTTGTTGGTAACTTTTGATACTTCCCTTTTTTACTTGTCTTTTGTTATTGGTATATACAGATGAGATTCCTGTACCCTTATCGCATGGAAAAATGGATACTTCGAACCATTGGAGAGAGATGGAGGGAGCACAAGTCTAATCTGAGATCAATATATTTTGATGAGCATAAGAGCACAAAAGCTAACCATAGTAATGTTCCTAACGGTATAATTGCTGACCAGTGGATTGCGCTTGTTGATAATTGGACGACTCAAAAAGCACTGGTACATGGATATTGTTGGATTTATATTTATGTGTTTTCATTGCCCAATAGATTTTTTAAACATTCACGGAACTTAAATGCTTTTCTCTACCTCATCATTATATGATAGGATATAAGTAAGAAAAACAGAGTAAACTGTACAAAGAAGAAGTCAACACATACAACTGGAACAAAGAGTTTTGCTCGAAACAGAGAGGAGTCGGTAATTTTTTACAACTCTAACTGTGTACTCTTGCTGCATCTCTATGGTAGTGATTATTAAGTTCTTTATATCTCTTTTTCATGTTCACAGAGAGAAAAAGATCCTGAAAAGAAATACCCTCACAGGGCTGTTTTGTATATCCATACACACCAGACTAGAAGTGAGAAGAACACAAATGCACATGTGGTACATTATTTGTGAATGCTTCATCTTTGATTGTTTACATCACTACTTTTTCATGTTATTTTTATTCATTTTAATTCATGTTGGTGCTACGCATAGGGGGATTTGAAGGAACTTATAGTGCAGCAGCCAGGTTTAGCGGAGACCAGTCAAGGAAAGGTTGCATGGAAAGGAGATGCACTTAGTAAAATATTAGGAGAAGAAAAGCCTGGCCATGTGCATGGCTTGGGACTTGTTCCAAATCCTAATCAAGTGTTTGACGTATCCACTTCAAAGCGCCTTAAGAATGTAAATTTGACTTCACTAGATGCAACATCAAGTGAAGATGTAGTATCTTTGAGACTTCAACTAGAGAAGCATGGCCAGCATGTCCGGAATCAAGATTCCACTATACTACAGCTGCAACAGAAGACAAGAACCTTGGAACATAAACAAATCCAACAGGTAAATTTTAAAAAATCCAATTCTAAGCATTTCCTACACTAAACTTCTGATTCCTTGACATAGGGATGTTTAGATGATCCTGTCTATGCACCTAAAGATGGCTATTGTGCTTATGTGCCAAATACGAAACGAAAAGTAAGTACGCCTCTGAAAAAATGACAAAACAACAATCTACTGCAAATTTCTTTTTTTAATAGCTGGCTCTAATTTATAGTCATTTGTCTATCAACAGCGAGTATATAGTGACCCTCAAAATCAAGATTCCAGCATGGATGAACAACTGAATGATACAATGGTACAATTGAATTGGATTTTTTATACCAGATTTATGTCAAATATTTATTTGTTTTAGTTCACTGCAGAATGGGCAAGCTGACAATGTGGAGGATGATGATCTGCAGCCACATTACAAATACCTTAGTCTTGTAGAGAAGGTATGCACACTAATATGGATGAGAACTTTTTACCATGGTTGGCACTGGAAAGCTACAACTAGAATTTTATGCTGTCATTTAACTGTGACCTATGCCTTGCGCTTGCAGAGGCAAAATGTTATGAAGCAGAGAAAAATAGATATTGTTAGCTCAAAGAAACAGGTAAGGACAGCTATTTTTTCAGTGACTAATCATTGTAAGGTATTTTGGTTAAAGATTCTTTTGGTTCCTCTGTAAAGAAGGTGGCTGAGCACTCATCTGAAGCCACAAATCTGGACTCATCTACCCCAGCCACAATAAATATTAGCTTACAGGTAACTATTCATGAAGCACTAGCTGTAGATTTTCTTTTAGACAAGTTTCTGCAATCCCTGTTTCAACTTTAGTCATTAGTGTTTACTTCATGCTTTATCGTGACAGCTATCTGGTGTGCCTGTCTTGTTGACCTGATTGATTACTTAGAAAAAACTCATGAATTTTTGTTAGGCTGAACTGATAATACCATATTATTTACTTACATATTATGGCACATGGCCTTAATAACCTATCTCTGTTCTGATTCCATTTTGTCAGTGAAAGAAAATATTAATTTATTCTTATTCACTATAGACGGAGCAAGATGATTATGTGGAGCACGAGGATCTGCCGGCACATTACAAATATAATTGAACTAAAGATAAGGTTTGCACACCAAACTGAACACATGGATGTAAAGCAATATATTATGTTTATTTTACTGGATACCGTTATTGCCACTGCTTTTTGACTTTCCTGACATGTCTTTCTTTCTAGAACAAAGATAGTATAGTACTGAATGACAATATAGTGTTAAATTTTATCATATCTTTAGTAAGTGGATCATTTCTACTAGACCATACCTTTCCGCAAATTGACTAGTAATTTCTATTTAATTACGGGAAAAACATATCCACAATGATCTTATGTTGGATAAAAGCAAGTGTACTAATGAAATCAAGGTGTTGTATAAATAACTCTTTGTCCTATGAAGTTTATCAAATTGTTGTATTTGAACTAGCACATATTACAGATTGTTGATCAAATTGTTGTATTTAAACTAGCACATATTACAGGTTGTCGCAAAGGAAACATCTGCTACTCCCTCAAATTTTGAAGCATCTGACTACCAAGTAAATATTGTTTTAGCAATGATATTTTTGTTACATGCTTATTTTACACTATTAAGTTATCTGTTTTGACTTGTTTCTAGCAGAACAAGATCTCAACAACGCCTAGTGCAACAGTACCTGCTAGTGTATAAGACACATCTCTTAAAACTTCATATTATCCCTTTCTTAATTGTTCTTACAACTGGAGTCTAAGAATCCCCTCATATACTTTTGTAGAAACATCATCGTGGCACAACAAATTGGTCAACTGGCAATTCAATGACGGTATGATTATTTGATTTCTTGCAAGTAGTCTGATCTGTTATGAACTTTTTTTTTGCATGCTTACATATGTGAACCAGGTTGGCACCAAAGTATACTTACAGAGCTGGAAAAATCAAAATAAAATTGTCACATTGGGTACAATAGTAAATTGTGATCCAACACATAAACTTGATGGTGTTCAACTAGGCAAAGAATTTTGGATGGTTCGTGTTAGTTTTGCTGTGGTACATGATGAACCATTGATACGACCATACAAAGGCTACAAGGTAATTGGAGACATAGAAGAGGAGTTACTGTTGCATGGCCTTCAACTTTTGTACGGTCTTTTCTATAACCCAATATAATTTAGTTCCCATAAGTGTTATATTAAATTAATCCAACTTTCATATGTAGATCAAGAAGATAAATATATGATCACATTAGTGGAATGCTAGACTAAAGTGAAGGAAGGAGAAAGGACGGCTTATATGTTTTATATTTTGCTCACATAGGAACTTATACTCTGAACAAAAATTAAGTAATGAATTATGTGGATGGTACTCATCCTATGAACAACTTATATATATATTGATAGTAATTAGGATTGCGTGGAATCGTAGATGAATTGATTGGAGAGGAGAGACCTATGTACATATATATAATATATATAGGAGAGGAGATCTGGTGGCTTATAGAAATAGGACCTGCCGAGATCTCCTCCTGATATCTCTCTAACCATATATAGGGCTGGCCGGCTATACTAGGCACACTCCCAACATATACACACGCACAACACATATATATTCTAACATCCTCCCGCAGTCACAGCGTCGATGGAGCGAATGTTGAGACTGGATCAAAACTCCGTGAAGACAGCAGTGGGCAAGCCTTTGGTGAAGATGTCAGCGAACTGAGACGTCGTTGGGACGTGAAGAACGCGGACAGCACCTAGGGCCACTCGTTCTTGAACGAAGTGAAGATCAATCTCAATGTACTTGTGTGTACTGATTTGAACGGGGTTGGAAGACATATATACGGTTTGATGTTGTCTGAAGAGACCAAAGTGGCATGGTGCAGAGGTGTATGCATTTCGGACAACAACCTGTCGATCCAAGAGGCTTCAAAGAACATTATTGGCGCATCGCTGACAATACTCAAACTTCCGCACTAGAGCGGGATATCGTGTTTTGGCGCTTGGAGGACCGAAGATAAGATTGTCCCTAGAAACACTCTGCAGAACTCTGATGTGGACTTACGAGTGTGAGGACATCCAACCCCAATCCGCATCGAGTAGACAATGAGATTAGGTGCTTTGGAAGTCGTAATATGTAAGCCCAACTCCAAGGTGCCACGAACATAGCGCAGTAATGCGCTTCAAGGTCGCAAGGTGAGGCTCACGCGGGTCATGCATGTGAAGACACACTGTTGTAACGGCATAAGCAATATCCGGCCGTGAAGAAGGTGAGGTCTTGCAAAGCTCCTGCTAGACTCCGAAAATCTATAGGATCTGCAATGGGAGCGCCATCAGCGGAAAGTTTGGGGTTGATGTCAACCGGTGTGAAACAAGGCTTGTAGTCTGCCATACCAGCCTGGTCTAGTATATCCAACATATACTGATGTTGGGACAAGAAGAGTCCACAACTAGTGCGTTGTACCTGCATGCCCAGAAAGTGATGGAGTTCTCCCAAATCTTTCATAGAGAAGTCACGCTGAAGAGCTGCAATGATGCGCTGGCGCAGATCCGTTGATGAGGCGGTCAGCACAATATCATCCACATATAACAGGAGATAGGCAATCTCTGAACCCCGTCGATAGACAAACAGAGATGTATCCGTCTTAGCCTCAACGAAACCCAACTGGAGGAGAAAAGAGGCGAACCTGCTGTTCCAAGCATGAGGCGCCTGTTTCAGGCCATATAGAGACCGATTTAGGCGGCAGACGAAGTTTGGGCGATAGGTATCCTCAAAACCAGCTGGCTGGGCACAATAGACGGTCTATGAGAGTGTCCCATGGAGAAATGCATTCTTCACATCTAGCTGGTCAACTGGCCAGCTGCGGGAGACTGCCAAAGAAAGAACTGTGCGAACGGTGGCAGGCTTCACAACAGGGCTGAAGGTCTCGTCATAGTCAATGCCAGGGCGCTGTGTAAAGCCACGAAGAACCCAGTGAGCCTTGTAACGCCGAGAGAACCTGCTCTTTGAGCTTGTGCTTAAATATCCACTTGCCAGTCACTACATTGGAGCGCGGGGGTCGCAAAACAAGATCCCAAGTGTGGTTGGCAAGTAAGGCCGAGAACTCCTCCTGCATAGCTGCACGCCAATGAGGATCAACAAGGGCGGCCCGATATGTCTGTGGAATCGGTGACAAGGTGGTCGCCTGAAGTGTAACCGGTTGTCGAAAACCAGATTTCCCACGTGTCCGCATGGCATCGTCAAGGTTGTACTGGGACGATGGGAACTGCCCCACGAGGGAAAGTAGCAGTGACATCCGGTGGCGGAGGAGGTGAAGTAGTCGAAGTCGGCGACGGAGGAGGCCGCGGTCGATGGCTGTACGTCAACCGAACTGGTGGCACCGGCGCCCGGGCAGCCAAGTCAGGCAGAGGAGGCTGAGGGCGCCGACTGTAGACGTGACCAGCCCAGCGCTGAAAGCCGGGCGGAGGTCCACTCAGGTGAGGTGGTGATGCTGCAGGGCCGGCCGATGCCGAGCCTGAGGCCGCCGGGCGATGAAACCTCTTTGGGCACTAGCGGGTCTGGTTGTCGAGGAGCGGGTCCGGCCAAAGGTAGGGGCGCCATAGGCGGAGGAGCGAAGAGACGCCATGGGGCGTTGCTCCGGGGTGAATAAACCGCAGACGTGGTTTGGCGGTGGCGGCGCCGAGAAGAACGCGCAGCATAAAACATGATGGCACTGGGAAGCCACCGGTGGGTCGATGAGAGTCCAAAAAACTCAAGTCCTGGGGTGGGACGAGTGGTGTCCTCTCGAGAAGGAAGCGATGACTCATCAAAGACAACATGCCGGGAAATGATGATCCGGTTGGAAGACCGGTCGAGACAGCAGTAGCCTTTATGATGAGGAGAGTAACCAAGAAAGACACACAAGGAGGAGCAGGGAGCGAGTTTGTGGGGGGGGCGGTAGCGGAGAGGTTGGGGTAGCAGCGACAACCGAAAACACAAAGATGCTCATAGGATGGAGGAGCCCCATAGAGAACCGTATGGGGAACTGAGAAATTGAGTGCCTTGGTTGGAAGAATATTAAGGAGTGTGGCGGTGGAAAGAGCCTCAACCCAGTAGGCTGGTGGGACACTAGCCTGAAAAAGAAGGGAGCGAACACCATTATTGATAGTGCGGATAATGCGTTCAGCTTTACCATTCTATGAAGATGTATATGGGCAGGACATGCGTAACTGGACGCCATGAGAAAGAAAGAAAGAAAGCGCGGGAAGTGTGATTGTCGAACTCGCGGCCATTGTCGCACTGGATGCCCTGAACAGTGACACCGAACTATGTAGTAACATAGGCAAAGAAGTTAGACAGTGTGGAAAAGGTGTCGGACTTTAGTCGTAGCGGAAAAGTCTAGAGATAGTGCGAAAAATCATCGAGAACAACAAGGTAATACTTGTGCCCAGAAACACTTGGAATTGGTGATGTCCACAAATCACAAAGGATTAATTGAAAAATATGAGTGGTTCTGGAGGTAGATGCATGAAAAGGTAAACGAGTATGACGCCCCAACTAGCAAGCATGACAAAGTGTATGACTAGCACTATTATTACATGGAATGGCAGATGACTGTGCTAGCCTAGACAAGACCTCATGACCGGGATGACCAAGACGCTGGTGCCAAAGTGAAGGACTAGAGGCGGCGAGGAGAGCAGAGGCGGACTCCGGAAGCTGTAGTGGGTAACGAGGACCGGAGCTGTCACACCTGACGATCTCTCTCCGAGAATGAAGATCCTTCACAGAACAACCAAGAGGGTCAAACTCCACAGAACAGTTGTTATCGGAAGTAAACTGGCGAACCGAAATGAGATTCTTAATAAGACTAGGTGAAACAAGGACATTATTAAGATGAAGATTGTTAGGTAAAGTGGTAACGCCAGTGGAAGTAACGGGAAGAAGATCCCATTACCGACAACAATATGAGATGGAAAAGATGAACGTGGAGTATGAGGAGTAGTAGTTATACCAAAGATCTCGAAGTCATATGATTAGAAGCCCCAGAGTCAAAGTACCAGTTGGTGGAGGGGTTGCTGAGCGACATTGTCTAGAAGTTGGACGCTAAGTCTGGAGGCATCCCATCCTGGAACAATGAAACAGATAGGCCACCGGTGGTATCGCCCATCGCCGCACACCGGGTGAACACCCCCACCTATTGGGCTGGGCGACCGCCAGGCGCAAGATGGGGTACCCATCGCCACCGCTTGGGCTGCCAGACATCGCCGGAAGTGCTTGAGGATGTGGGAGCATCATTGGGGTGGTCCAGCCACATGTTGATGGTCCCAAACCATGGTTGATGAAGATTGGGCCACCGGAGGACCCCGGCTCCCGGAGCAGCGGGCTGACCATTGGTGTTCGCTGGCTGCCCACGGCCGCCGCCACCACGCTTCCCGCCGGCACGCGCTTGCCCCCCCCCGTTGAAGGGCTAAGGCGGCGCTTTCTTGCGGCTTCTTTGTCAAAGCGTGGTGAAGGTGCGATTGGAGGTAAGGTGTCGCGAACCAGTAGATGGCGCTGTAGTAGCAGTGGTGAGGGTAGTAGCTGGCGCCGTCGCCTCCATGTTGAGCTCCTCGAGAAGGAGATCATTGCGTGCCTGCAGGAAGGTAGGGAAGGGGCGCCCACGATGAAGATGAAGGCCAATTGCCTTGAACCAACCGTTGAGACCTCGAAGGAGGTTG